TACTATCTTTAGACCTTTGAAGAACGCGAGACTGTCGAAACCGTCAGGTCCGTTAAAGATCCATCAAAAATCTGTTTGGCATGCACGACTACTGACACTTCAAAAAATGTCAGTTTTAAAAATAAGAGAGCGTTTGATTTCCAAAAGCTAAGTTCTTTAAATTCCTAAGCTTCGTGTTCTTAGGTTGTGAAGGATACAGAGATGAGCAATTTCGTATCTGAATGCAAGTTTCCTCTTACAAGGGAAGGATAGTTGGATGCCGCGGCCATTCCTAATGATTTACATATCAAAAAAATGCGCCTTCGAATGCAGATTCTGAATCTGTGCTCGAAATCTGCGAAACGATCTTTTGAAGAAAGTTATGAACTTTTTTCCTTGAAAACTTAGCCTACTTTTGGATAGTAAAAATCACCAGATTTGATCTAGCCTACCGTTTGATGCTACTGAAGAAAATTTTAGACGTAGTAATATTTATTTAGACTAGCTGGATCATACTCAGCATTTGGAAAGGAGAGAAAATTTTTTTATTGATGATTTTGACCCTCCGCAATAACGCAATTTTTTTTAATGAAAAAAAATCATAACTCCATTCAGATTACCGTTTCGCAGATATGGAAGACAGTCTACGAACCAGCATTCAAAAGCGTATTTTTTGGTATACAAATCATTATGAATGGCTACGGCATCCAAGTATCCTTTCCCTGTTAGTGAATAAGTAAAAGCGTGATCTGATACTTTGAATACTCTTCAATCACAAAAGAAGAGAAATTTTCTCAGATTTGCTCACAACGAGAAAATTAAGGTATCTCACTTGTTTAAGCGCTTTGTTACTTCAACAAAATTTATTTCAACTCTCATTGAAATGCTCATTCCAGAGATACGTAGACAAAATGTCTGCAGCATGGCTAATAAAAATGTCTGCGCGAAAAGCGGCAGAACATGTTTATTAGCCAACCTAATACTATGTTAGATGTAAGAGTAGGGCAGGAAGTTAGACGCTTAGGTGAAAAAGACCTATGAATCTATAAAACCTATGAGCTCAAATGTTTACATTCTCTATGCATTTATCATAGATTCTGGTTGCCAAAGAGGTACAAGTGAGGAGTCTGAGGTGGGTTGAAGGAAGTCTGGGTCAAATACGGAATCTAAAAGCATTTAGAAATCATTCAAAATTTTGAAAAAGAATAGATTCTTTCAAAGATTTTACTTCTTAGTATTCTAAATGTTTACCGTATCGGGGTCATAGAGACGGTTTTTTAAAATAATAAATCAAAACCTCCAAAAAAACATTTCATGATTCACTTGGCACCAACTAAAGCCGAACTCCTGTTTTCTTTTCTAACAATGATTCCACCGACTACATCGAGACCGAGTCGATGCTGACTTAAAACCAAAGCGGGGGCGCCCAGAGGTGGGGATCGCACATCTCATGGTTTACACTCTCGCAGTATTTTTTGCTGCTATCCGCTAGCTTCACAGCGCTCGTCAAAATACTGAATCACAAAAGAAAAGCCATTGATACATATTCCTTGGCGAAAATAGTCTCTAAGTTGACGCTCTCTTTTACGAGCAGTATATGATCACTGCATTTCCTTTCATATTGCTATCATGAGCACTTTAGAAATTGAAGCTGATGTTTATAAAATAGTAATAGTAGAGAAATAAATCTTTGCAAGGCAAATACATAGTAATAGCAGTTTAATTCATAATGACTGCACAAGAACAGGAGAGAAAAAAAGAAAGACAAAATTTTGTAGCCTGAAATTTTACAAAATTTACATAAAAATATGTATAAGATTTTTTCAAATTGTAATCGATGCGGACCAGATCACAATTTTTTGCGGGGACAATGTGGATAACATTTAGTTTATATTTTATAAAATCTGGAAAAGCTTGCAATTGTCAATGAATATCATAGCTTCAAATGAATTTCTATTATTATTGTGATACACTGTAACGTTGAAGAGATAAGGAAAATAGCATTTTCTCTACTTAGAAAAGGGTGGTGAATTGTGAGAACCTTGGAAAGCTGACCTTTAGAATAAAAACCCGAAGCGAAACATTCACCTAAGGATAATGTTACCTCAACTTATCGAGGATGAATGAACTTTACTGGGCAAAAAAGGTAAGAAGAAAAGCCCAAAAGTAAATCCAGCAAAAAAGCTCTTTCTTGCTAATACTTGTGAGATCAAATGAGTGTATCCGTTAGTGAAAAAAATTCCTGCTAACCCTTCCATTCCCGATTCATATGAAACATTACTGACACAACCCTTAGAGAAATCTGCTCAATGCCACAGACGTTTAGAGTGCCCCATTCGTCAGAATTCCAGCGCTTTCCCTTTTTCATAATTCTCGACCTCGAAGAGCCATTCAGCATTATTTTGAGCATTTGCGCAGTTTTTTCAGGTTCTTATTATTGCATCAAAACAGCTGTCTGCTGAGGTTAAGCTCCGAATGCTTCTTCGAAATATCTGCAGTAGTTCATCATAATGAGAAGGAATGTATCGAACTTTTCAAAGAGGTGCCGGCTAGGTGGGATCCAAAGAACCAAATTGACTTGGATGCTTGAGACAGAGCTATAATGGAGATACACTTTGAATCATAGGTGAGACGTGTAACAAAAACTATTCATTAAGTCAAACAAAGGAGAATCAATAGAGAATAGAAATAACAATTTATGGGCATTATTCTACAAACTACATATTCGCTCTAAAAACCACCTGCAAAATTTTTATGCTCGAATATGAGGTTCATAGTATCTGCTCTCAGCATCAAAAGACAACGCCTTTGTTGGAATTTGATAATTAAGAGAGGCTCAAAAGAATACTGATTTTGACAAAAAGCGGCTCTATAAAACCAGAAAGTTGATAATTTCTCGTTCTTACGAGGAAGAGGACAAGGGAAGTAACATGGAAGGGAAGTGACATTAGTCGAAGTGACGTTTCCATATGAAATTGACTACCTTAAAGAGCATGGAACGCTAATCCCAAATCTGCTTTCTTATCTGCAAAGCAATTCTGGGAGGGGAGGGATGATTTTTGAAGTAGAAACTGAATGCGCGGTTACCAAATGCATTCAGAACTGTAGTCCGCAAGCTCAAATAGGCTATGATTATTGCCAGGGCGCTATATGTAGTTAACACCTTTAGTCTAATAATTTTATGCCAGCCATCACCGCATTCAAGCTCTGGAAGGAACACCTGTCCTACCTTAGAACCTTTAAATTTTTGCTTCGAAAAATTCCCACATCTCCGTTTATAGGGCTTTGAAATCTGATTTGGAATCAGCATTCCAAGTTCTTTTAGGCAATACATTCTTACATTCTTTTAGGCATTTCATTTTGAAACTCCACTTTCACCTATCCTTCCCCTGTTAGAATTTTCTGATTTTAACTGAAGAGGAAGGAAAGAAAAAGATATTTCATTTGGAGTCAACGATAATGTGCCCACCCCCCTTCCCATGACTGGGATATAGTAAGCTCCATTCACATTTTCTATGGTGAAATTTCCATTGAGATAGAATTTGACAATTGTAAACTTTGTTGCTCCAGGTTTGTACAGGAATACAAATTTTTGAAGTTTTTTGCCATCAGCAGAAAATTTCACGGATGCAATCGATATAGGCAGACACCTGAGCGCTGAAAATTCGTAGTATCTGCAAATCTTGCAAGCTTTTTTGGCTTTACGGAATAGCGCCATTGAACGCTGAAGCGAAACGTTTATTGATAGGCAAGAATGCAGTACATTCTTGTTTTTTTTTTACCACGCTTATTGCGTCACTGTAAAACAAAAGCGTTTTTTGTTATGATAAATAATGTTGGACGGATTCAGCTCGATTACAGTAGTTTCGGCCTATGACCCAAGAACCTAAAAGACGAACTCTCAGGTGACCAAAAAAACCTCTGTTATTACAAATAACAGCTGTTACATTTACTTATAAACAAAGGAACAACGTGCGTTAAGGGTTTACCAGAAGAAATGAGGTGGCGTTTTTTTAAATTGAGAGAGGATGCGGAAAATAACAGAAAATAACATAAATAGCTTAAACAAGAGCACCGAGTTAATCTGAGTCTACTAAAAATTCTGGAGTGAAATAGCCTATGAAATTCACTAAAGTAAACAGAACATCTGAAATTCGTGCTGAAAATTTGAAATCTTGAAATGTTAGAAAAAAATTATTTTTAAGTGCGTGTCATTCAGAACATAAGTACATATACTCCAGCATGCTTTCTCTTTCAAGTGGGTAAAATTCAGCTTTTCCCTTGTCACAAAGTCAATATAACCTTCGAGAAGTTTTGAATGAAGCAAAAAGAGATCTCCACTGAATACTAAAACACCATCAAAAGAAATCGATGCCTACTCTCTTCCCCCCCCCCCCCTCCCTCACCATAACTTGACTGGCAAACAAATACCGCATGGCTAAAATGAGAAAATGAAAATACTTTCTTTAGGATCAGAACTGGTCAGTTTTGCTAGTGTTACAGTAGTTTACAGAATATGTAAGGTATGATAGGATTAGGGTAAGCTTCCTGAGGGACCCTTGAAAATGCTAACTAGGGTGCAAAAAGAGGTATCAAATGAAATGAGATAAATCAAAGATACATCTCCATCCACCTAATTGTTCTAGCTCCTATTGGTTTCAAAAAAAAGGCTACGTAGCAGCGTATAGTATGGTGAGGGTAAGGCTACTGTAACTTGATAAGGTAAGTATAGTCTGCATTTGCGGTATTTTTCACTTTTCCTTTCATAATTGGAGGAATACTATTTCTTGAAATAAAGCCACAGAAGGGATTCGCTCACGCCTAGTCCTCCTTATAAAAGTAGGCGGAAGTAAACATGTCCAACACAATTCTTCGAGGGAAGTTACGGAGGGATTACGGTACATTCTACCTAGTAAAACCTACTATTTTGCTAGAAAAGTAAGAAAAACACCTACTATCCTTAGCACCCAAGAAAAATGGTTGTCTATAGGAAATTGAGACTCAATAAGCATGGCACATACCTGACTCCGGCATCGTTTGAAGCAAGAATAGAGGCGATGGGTCAGCTGTTCTGGCGATGGCGGCGCCGCCGAGCCGGCGGCGGCCGTGGCTGGAGGCATGAGGCAACCCACGCTTGGCGTACAGCGCTCTGTTGTCATGGCTAATTGTTCTTTATCAGACTGGTCTCGAGGTATAATAGGGGCTAAGAATAAAAATTAACCGCAAAATTGTTTTGGGGAGGATGCAACTCAAAGAAACGCTTAGAATAGCCGGTCTAGTGGCATAATAAGCTTTTTCGGCGTTGGAAGCCATAAGAATTCATCCGTTATCATTCCCCCTAACTCTCCTTTCTAGAGGCACACAATACTACTAGCTACCTAGTTCCCATTCCCCATCTCATCTTTTTCCCCATACACCCTTCCTCCCACCCTCAACATATTCTCTTCCCCAGCTGTTTCACATACATAAAGTGCAGTCAATAGACAGCAGATGATTTGGTGCTATATTTACCCGACTTTCGGGCAATTCTAGAGACAAATTGTGTCCCTCTCCTCCCATCTGGTTAACTAATCAGTGCCCAAACACACAAGTCATGAGCTGATGCGTCGAACCGATTTACAACAGCCGCTTCTTCGACAGCGCTGCCGCTGTTTACCGGTAGTTGTAAGATCGTTGCGATCATGTTCGGGTAAAAGTCATTGAGATTGATGAAAGTGGATCCGTTGTGTAGCCAGTGTTGTCGGTCAGCAAAATTTCAGCTGGACAAGTAAATGTGAGCTTAGATGTAGAATCGTAAATCTGGTCTAAAGCACACTGGATGAGCTATGGGAATTACAGCGGAGCCTAGTTCAACAATATGAGATTTGGATCCACATTTATTGCACTGATTGAGGTGGCTTTCCAGAAGTCAGACCCTTTCTTCTTTAACTTTTTTGAATCCTTTTCGAAAAGATTTGGATGAGATAACTTTTGATTTAACCGGCTTGGCGGTTGGAAGGCGGGATGTGTGACCTGATCAAGGCCGCTCGCGAAGCGACGCAGTCTATGTCTCTCTCCCTCGCGCATTCTCTGATCATTACCTAGCCTTAATTAGGTCACGAAGCCCCGCCCTTTCAGATACCAAGCCAGCTGAATCAAAGGGTATGTTCTGAATAGAAAATTCCGTTTCTGAACCGATGCGAACCAAACTTGGCACACACACTTCGGGGCGGGGTGGGTATTGTAGGTTACCCTTCGTTATCGATCGATATCGATTTTAATCAATATCATCGACATTCTGTGAAGTTTGACTACGCGGCTGGGAGTTGGCATAGGATGGGGGGGGGTGGTAATCGAGCATGTTGATTACGAATACAACATAAGTTTTTGGAACTACCTCTATCGACTTTATCGATTCTTCGCAAAATTTGAGCTACAGGGTTGAGAAATGGCAAAGGAGGGGGGGGGGGGAATAAGTGAGCATGCTGAATACGAATACAATACTAGTTTTTGGAATTGTCCATTACTTCTATCAATTTCATCGACTTTTTGCCTGCACAGTGGATTAAGTGAGCATGCTATATTCTACACATTGCAAGGGAAAGGTTGCACAGAAATAGGAATGGGACCTTTACCATAGTGTTTTGACAGGGCCAGGCGAAGCCGAGTAAGCTAGATAGTAGGGTTATAAGCAAATTTAGCCGAATATTCTATTTTAGCCGAATTCGTCGCTGAGATTGCCTAAAACGAGAAAAAACCAAAGGGTCCGAAATTCTTGGAAAACTTCCGCATAGAAGTCATCGTCTAGCCCGCTGATTACGAAAAACGAACCTGCTTTGAATTAACGTCTTACTGTGGGGTTACGGTAAAGACTGGGAGATATGGATTCTTTTAGAATTTATCGACCCATCTTACTTTCCGGAAAAGATATCCGCTAGCGTATGATAATCTACGGGGACAGCTCTACCGTGCTCAATAGAGTCTTCCGTGTTCGTTTTGAGCTGCGTTAAACAACTGCGAACACGCTCCCCACGAAAAAAATCGAACAGACTGAAAACGGAATAGCGTGGTAGTAAATCAAATAAACAATCCATCTTGACAAGCTGAGCACTAGGTTTTTCTCAGATTTATATTTTATGCAAAAGAAAATTATGAAGAAAAAACGAAAAAAAAAGCGGACCGTCAGTTTTTGCGTTTTCTTTCAATTATTAGTGTGGGCTATGTATTTCGTAAAAACTTCCTAAAAATATGGGTTCTGATGGAAAAGTACCGAAAAATCTTCCAGGTGACATCAAACTTTTGCAATAGTTTGATCCACAGTGAAATACTGTTGGATTTGATTTTGTCAACGAAAATTTATGGACAGTTGTTTAAGTGGTACAATGCCGTTATAATTGGTGAAAAAAGACGCATTGGCCCAGAGTTAGATGGCACTATCGCTCGCACTGTCGCATCGCTCTATGTCGCTTCGGTTTGGACGAATTTGATTCTGAGGGCACCATTCAGATGAACCAGAGCGAGCAACTTCTAATGTAATTGAGTGCTGTCGGTAAGTTTATGGTAAGAAGTCATTTTCGCGATTCTTTCTAATCTTTGCCCACGGAGACAGCTCACTGTAGAAATCAGCACACTGTAAGCGAACCGAAAAATTCGAGTAATTGACTAGTTACAAACCTACCGTACTTAAACAGGCACTACTATATAGGATGCGGAAAAGTGCTCCAACTTCCTGGCAGGTGTCCCAAATGTTTTCTAACAATTTCGGCTTGTTTTCTATTTTTCGGGCAGTTGGATATTTCTAGTTTTTGGTTGCAACTTCGTATAGCTCACATTTGATACAAATCAAAATACAGAACCACAAAATCTCTATGGTACATGCGAAATATAAAATGCGGTTTTGACCTTTTGGAGCAGATGTTACAACCGAAAAATTGAGCTTCTATCATATAACGATTTTTTCATAAAATTTGAATGAGGGCTCATTATTGAAAGTCAATAAAATTGTGTTTATTCATGCTCGGGATAATGAGTTAGGGAGCACAATGAATAATAGGAAAGATCCTTTTTTTTTTGTAGAGGTTTGGTACTACTTTTGGAAAAAAAATTAGGGCTAAATATACGCTGAAATTTTGTAGATTCTATTTGCATGCCAAAGCGATTTTACTCAATCTACTGATTGAATCGATGCAATAGTTCTCGCTAAATTAGAGGGAATTCGATAACTCACTAAAATCTAAAGTTAGATTCATACTTTTTCAAAAAGAAGTTGGTTTTGCGCTTAAAGATATTTACCTCTCATTGGCTATCCTCAAAGAAAAGGCCTCCAAAGTAGCAAGTTCGTACTTTTGAGTTTGGTATTGAATAGTATTAAAGTATCTATAGTCTCAAGAAATTTCTGCAACGTTCATAGCAATGTTCCATACATGGCAAGCTTTGATCTACGATAATGTAAAGACAAAACTCCGAAGAATTTCCTTTGCAGAGAAAATTAGCTTCTTTGTAGCAAAAGTATCACTTAATGCTTACTTTGAGTGCTGTAAGGTCATCTCGGGTATGTTAGGGTGTCTTTACTTATAAAATGCAATAATAAGGAGATTTGCCTTGCAAAGACGATTTTTCACGAATTTTCGCACTTGCATCCTATGCTATTCCCGCATCCCGCAGGCTTCGAATGAGACCTGTACAGGAGCGGAGGGTGGGAGGGGCTTCACCTGTGCGCGAAGGTGCGAGGAGCTTTCTGGAGTGTGAGTGTGGCGCGAATGGAGGCGGTAGGAACTCCTACGTTCCCTTCCTGTATTCGTAGTCAGTGAGGTATAGTGATGCGGCGCTAATGTTACCTAACTCTGGTGACAATGATTCTTTCCCAAAAATTACGAGCGGTATGTTGCTTAGCGCTTTTCGCAACGCTTGTTATTTATAGATCCTTACTTCAAAGACTCATTTCTAAAGTTCAAGTGTAACTCGCCGTACCTCTCTTCAGAAACTGTCGTTGCGAATGCGTTGAAGGTAAACTTAGAGACTTCTTTCTGAGCTTAATTAGACTCAGCAGCTACAAGAGTTTATTTTGAAGATTGCCAAGCACTTTTTTCGACTCTCAACAACTAGGCAAAGCATGATTCAGTCTGAGATGTAGTGATAGAGCTCAGCTCATTTGTAGCCAGTGGTCGGTTTAGCAATAATCCTTCCTCGAATTGAAGTTGCAAAATAAAAGTGCAGAAAACCACTTAATTTGCTCTGTCTAAGGTAGCACGAAAAGGCACGAAACAAGATTGCCCAATATCGGTAATCTTTTGCTCTAAGAGCCGAGGAAAGGCACATTACATTTGGCAGATGATATTATAGAACAATGGTCGTATTCATCAACGAACCCTGAGAGTAAACTTTACTCTTGAAGGTAAGTTTTACCCTCAGGGTTCATTAGCCGTTTTCATTAACGAACCTTTGGAGGAAGGTAGTTACCTAAAAAGCGATGAACCTTTTTCAATTAATAGACCTTGAGGATAAATCCTACCCTTGAGGATGAGTCTTTCCCCAGAAAGCGATTAACCCTTACGCACGAACATGGCTCATCAGGGTAATTAGCCTTAGCATAGACAAGATTAGGAAGGCGTGCAGGAGTTCCTCACCTTTCCCCGCACCAGGTTCGCACCAACATTCACGCCCAGGAGAGTTCTAGCCACGGCCCGGCACAAGTCCGTTTCTAGGCTTTTTAGAAACAAAGTCCTCCCTGACTTTCAAAAATTTTACGAAACCTTTGACTCGTGCTAACCCCTCCCCCATCCTCCGATTGTTGGTGGATCTTCGCATACTCACTTAGTCCTTGACAAGACCATTTACCTGCTGCGAGCTGAAAATCTTGCGATTTCAGGTCAAACTCTCAAAAAAAATCACAAAATCCCCAGAATTTTGCTTCATGAAGTCCTACATGGTCACAGAACAGATCAAGATAGATGACGAGCAGAAGGGAGAGGAAGAATAAGGAGAAAAATGAAAGCAATTCTTAAAATACTGAAAAAAAGCTGGAACTGAAAAAAAGTTAAAGGGAGAGGAAGCAGAAAAGTTGACGCTGGATCGCGATATCTAACAAAGCGATTTCCGAAAAAAAAGAAGGTAAAAAACGGCGTGGAGGGGGCTTTATGAAACTTTCTCTATGCTCAAGGATAGATTTTTGACCGGGGCATCCGTTCAAGCTAAAGAAATCCAAAACTTATGTGAAGTGACGGAAATACATGCTTCAGACGATCTCAGTTCGTTTAGTGGTCGTTTGGAGACGGGCTAATTTTGAAAAGGTATTACTTCCCATAAGTTTTTCGATAATTTACATGATTCTTTCGCAAATAATTTTTTATGTATACGATTCAATCTTGGTGTCATATGATTCGATATGCGCTTTAAACAAACAATTGGTTTATTTTAGTCTTGATTTCAAATCGCGCGCACTTTTCGCCATTACCATAGAGCATGTCAATCGCGTGATGACCTGTTCGAAAAGCTGTCGTTTGACTAAATGTGACTAAATGGCGCTTATCCTTGGTGCTCAGCCCTTCCGCGAAAACGATATCTCTTTTGCTTTTTGCTTCAAAAACGAAGTCCAGCTTGCTTCCAGACAATTGCCCGAGCTCTGGTTCTAGCACTTGCGCGTTCAGAGGTCAGGCCACGCCCATTGCCCCATCCAGTTACTGGTCTCATTGTGAGGTGTGCAAGCAGCGGCAACATAGACTCAGTTAAGCTAATAAGAGAGAAAAATGGAGAGAATACGAAGAGCATAGTCATTATTTCTCCGGTGAGGAGGCTTGGAAACTTTTGCTATGCCACCCATTCAAAAATGAGCGGTTGAATTCTTCTTAAAAGAGATAAATTGCGCAGAACTTTTTAAAGAGAAAACACGGTCATTCGAAATATCAACGGATTTCGCACCTTCAAATTCAAACGAGCATAATTTTTTCCGGATTCAAGCTTTTTCCATCAAATAAGTTTCATTGTGTTCAGCAAATTTCTGGTAACAATCTTATAATGCTCTTGTGGTTTTTTTGCGAAATGATCTCAGAAATCAATAAAGCCTAAAAAGGCGCTTTTAACTAGCCAACCTTCGTTGGGTCTTATTCTTTTTCAATAGGCACCGAAGAATTAGAAAATTTGGTGATTGGTAAAACAAGGTCTAAAGAGTTAATAAACGGGAACCTCGGTGCGCACTCATCCCGTTTTGTCAGAGACACCTTTCTTACATGTGGTTTGGCGGCGTCATGGGCAAGGATGGCAACTCTATAGGATGACCACGGAATTAAAATTTGATGACATCAAGAGAAGTGCATGTGAAGTTATTTAGAATCGGTGAAAGATCATTTGGGAAACGTTGTTTGCAAACATAGTCTAATCTATGCATTGGTTGAATAGTTTTGAAAGGTGGGGAACTATCTACCCAAAGACCTGCCGCAACTTAGTTATATATGTCATAAACTGTCAAAAACGCTAATTAGCATCCAGTTTGCACCGCAAAAGAGCTGACTTTGCACACACAGGCTTGCTCTCATCTTGTGATACATGAAACCGAAATTTTATTGAAATTTCAAACCCAAAGTCCAGTACTGACTTCCGTCCGATTGAGGTGAAAAGTGGATTTAGGGATTTTGTTCAATGCTGTTCTTGAATATGCTGTTGGTTTTCTAGAAAACTAATAAGGGAAACTACCTGACTTAGATCGGTCTTTTGGCAAGCTACATATAAGCTGTTCCTAGCTGCCGAGCACCATTCCGAAGCGAGTTAAGAGTAATTTCGTGCGCAAAATTGGCATGCTCATCGACTCACTGGCATCACGGCACCACCACCTGCATGCTAGTGCACTTGCATTAAGCTTCTTTTTAGTGAGAAAAGCTTGGATCTCTATTATTTCGATATCTCAGCACCTTTTTCTTGCAAATTTTTATCTACAGTCTTCCCATGTTCAGTAGTGCGCCAATTTTGCGCAGAAAAAAGCCCATAACTCGCTTCGGAATGGTGCTCGGAGATAGAAGAAACATGCTTGTAATCAGCGTTTGAAGTGTGATACAGAATAAATATCTAGCATGCCAGAAGGCCAACCTAAGTCGAAGATAATTTTTTATTCGAAGAACAGTTTGGAACTGAATATTTTTTGAATATTCATTTGATATCATGTAATATTTTTGTTGGATTCAGAATCGCTGTTATCCTAGCAGATTTTTCTCCGCTTGTTTTTCAATCTTTCCAGTTCTGCATCAAAATCTCTTTAAAAAGTCCATGTTTCAAAAAACGCGAAGGCTATAAGAAAACAGTCAAAAACAAAATGACTAAAAGCTCTAAGTGGTACTAGGTTGGTGCAAAAATAACATCTGTTTTGAAAAGTTTCACTTTGAAAAATTATGACTTTGTTCAGTCCTCATATTTTTGAATACAGTCAAGAACATTAGAAGCATCAAGCTTTTCGTAGCTTAGCGCACATCTGCTCATATTGATAGTGCAAAAATGTTGTGATCATTTAGGATCCATAGTGACCGTACCGACCATTTCTTCAATCTGGCATTCGTTGGTTCCACGCCGTATTTTAAAGAGGCCTAGAATCAATCAGCGCTTTGAGAATGAGAATTTTACAAGGAGTCTGCAAAGATTCAAACAAATGTCTATCTTACCTTTTTCTCCCCAATCAGAGTTCCAGGAGTTTGAGATGAGCCAGTATTTAACACCGTTCTCTACTCCCCATCCTATGATTTTGACGGCGTGACCTCCTGCTTCAGCTCCCCATGTGTACTGAATGTAAGATTATTTTTTTCGGAGAACTTCTGTTTGCAAAAAATTATCATGTTCACATCCTATTCCACGAAGAATAGGTTGAGAACATTCCATGCTTAAGTGCTGTTAGGTGTGCCTTTATTTGATGACCCTTGAAGTTCACTCGTCAATGCATTCTCTTGACAAGAAAAATTGTCTCCCTGCAGCAATGAAGAGCTCACTAAATGTTCAAAGAGTTTCCGCTTGATTTTGAAAATCTTGTATAACTGTGGACCCAGAATCTTTCAACCTACCGATGAAGTTCTGCACAACTATTGGGTTGTCCCATAAGTCTTTTCATATTTGTACCTTCAAAACGATAATCCTCAAAAACTAAGGCATCCAGAAGGTTGCAAATTTGCGAGAGTTTTCCTGAGTGAATAAGTTATATAATCACATATTTACGAGGAGCATAGACCATTACAGGCAAAGTTTTAAAATTGAGCGCCTTATTTTTTCTCGATTCCTAGTCATCAAAAAAAATGCGGAATGTATTAGGTCCGAAAGTTCTTTCGCACCAAATTTAAAAAGTCATAACTTCTGATTTTTCCAACCGATTGGACTGCTTTTATTTTTATCTTGAAGGGTAAGTCATGCTCTTTATAATGACATCTCAGATGCTTACTAATGATCATCTGTTGCATAAATAGGAGCGATAGAAGAAAATTGGTCAAAATTCGAATTTTTCGTGTACGGTCATAAAAAATCGGAAACTTGCAACAAAAAACGGAGCAGTCAGTATTGTAGGTTCTTCCACCAGCTCTTTCTAACAACGCAAAGTTTGCGCTGATTGATGGTCTCTATGAAAAGTTATGATTTTCGAGCAAGCAATACAAAAGGGCGAATTTGGTTTATTTTGGCATTTTTCAGGGAAATCATAACTTTCCATAGAAACGCTCAATCGGCGCAAACTTTGCACTGTTAGAGAGAGCTGGTGAAGGAACCTACAATATTGACTGCTCCGATTTTTGTTGCAAGTCTCCGATTTTTTATGACTACACAGAAAATTCAAATTTTGACCATTTTTCTTCTATCGCTCCTATCTATGCAACAGATGATCATTAGTAAGCATCTGAGATGTCATTATAAAGAGTATGACTTACCCTTTAAGACAAAAATAAAAGCAGTCCAATCGGTTGGAAAAATCAGAAGTTATGAATTTTTAAATTTGGTGCGAAAGAACTTTTGGGCCAACCTAATATATAGGTTAAACCGAAAGTTCGTTCGCACCATTTTCAAAAAATCATAATTTCTTTCCATCACGACGATTTTGCGCATTTCAAGTTTTATTAGAAAGCGTAAAGCATTTAGTTTCCAATAGTCCCCTGGCGAGTTTCCAGCATGTTCACATTGCAGAGATAAAAATGAAAGAACGAAAACCGAAATTCGCAATTTTTGAGAAACAATTCCAAAAATCTAGAAACTCGCGATAAAATCCAGAAAAGTCATTATTTTAATTTCTCTTATACTTGATTACTAACTGAGTTAAATTTGTGCTGATCGAGCTTTTCTTTCAAAAGTTATGATTTTTTGAAAAAAAAATGCCGAAAAATCAATTTCTTAGGAATTCTTAGGAAAGTGATTTTTCGGAATTTTTTTCAAAAAATCATAACTTTTGAAAGAAGAGCTCGATCAGCACAAACTTAACTCAGTTAGTAATCAAGTATTAGGTCGTTCCGAAAGTTCTTTCCGTTTTTCTAATCTATCATAAAGACACGTGGAATGAAGATTGGGAAACGCATTAGCACTAGCCGACGCCGCGTTTCTTTCTCTTTCTAGCAGTCATATTCCCATGTCGCTTACTCTTGTGATCACTGAGATAATCGCCGAAATTTTGAGCACATGGTTTTTACAATGTCCAAATTTGGCAATTTCACAATCTTCGTTTTTAACTTTCGGAGAAGCTTTGATAGCAGTCAAGTAGAGTAAACAAAGTGCAATGCAATACATTTTTTTGGCAAATCCAGCTGGCTTTTCAGTATTTTTTGAGATAATTTTTCCAAAAGTCTTCACTTTTGCGAAGTCTCAAAATACAGAAACGCCCCGAACACTGGCAAGAATACGGATTTAAAGCTTTTTAAAGTCAGTTAAGATTATCCACAATTTTTACAAAGCAACTGAGCGTTTACCGCTTGTAAATATAAGGTTTCGCATTTTACGTGTACAGGCTGGGGCGGGTTCAAAATCAAGAATTATGGAAACTTTATAGCTAAAGACCCCGCAAATTGGAAATAAAATACATTCATTAGGAAGAGAAGGAAAAGCTGCATCGAATGACACCTTAGTTGTGCGCCGTCCTATGTTCTATGGCTCTTGGCGTCCCCAAAAGTGGAATTTGATAGCATCGGAAAAATGATTCTAAAAAATTTTTAAGGCTAGCTATGAACGGCGAAAAATTGCATCAAATTGCACTTTGTTTGCTCTATCTGACTGCTATCAAAGCTTTCGTAAAAGTCAAAAAAGAAGATTGTGAAAAATTTCCAAATTTGGGCATGGTAAAAACCATGGGTGCAAAATTTCGGCCATTATCTCACTGACCACAAGAGCAAGCAGCACAGGAATACGAGCAGTTGAAAAGAGGAAGAAAAGCTGCGTCGGACAGTGCCTAAAGCTTTCCTCTGCCTTGATTCCACGTGTTTGTGTGATAGGTTGAAAATACGGAAAGAACTTTCGGAACGACCTAATATAAGAAAAATCAGGATAATGGCTTTTCTGGATTTTATCGCGCAGTTTCTAGATTTTTGGAATTGTTTCTCAAAAATTGCGAATTTCGGTTTTCGTTCTTTCATTTTTATCTCTGCAATCTGAACATGCTGGAAAGTCGCCAGGGGACTATTGGAAACTACATGCTTTATGCTTTCTAACAAAATTTGAGTTGCGCAAAATCGTTGTGAGTGAAAGAAGTTATAAATTTTTGAAATTGGTGCGAACGAACTTTCGGTTCAACCTAATATATAAATATCTGATGTTGAGATTGCATGCTCGAGCAAGTGGAAACTTTGCAGGATGTTTTTGAACTGATATAAAATTATTCTCGTTTTCTCGAAATTTTGGATTTTCTCACATTTTGTCTTGAAACTAGATGCGAATCAAGCTTGGTACGAACTTTTAAGAAGCCCTTTGTAGAGCTTGCTTTGAATTTTCGAATGGTGCCCCGCATTCGGTTAGAAACCTAGGAAGAGCAATTTATGCTGGTGAAAATTCAAATATGAAAAGACTTATGAGACATCACGCCTAGGTATGCGATTGAACGATTGTATATTGATGTAGTACAAACAATTCCCTTTCACTAATTTCAAACGTTAAAAGCTCAAAAAGCTAAGCAGTAAGCATTAGCAAACTTTCTAAATATTCAGGTACCATTTCGGTATCATAAATCTTATATGCTCGATACTATGTACTGATAGTTACATTGAAAATAGGGTTAAATTTCGCATGGAATAGTGGGAACCTTACCACATATACTCCCTTCTGGTAGTATTGAAAGTCGTCGTAAACTATAAAACCTGCTTGAACGGGTCCTTTTTCAAATATTTCCTTTTGGATTGCCAATTCAGACGCATTGACGAATTCAGCGGAATCTCCTGAACAGTATCACAGTACCGTTTCAGTACGATGAAAGAATGTGGTGGCGTTTACCAAAGATCTTGTCGACGGGATATTCCGACTTATATCTGATCTGACATAGCTTACGGCAAGGTGGTGTATCTGCGTTGTCCTTCAGACATTCACCATAATATGGCTGACCCTCGTGGTGACCACATGGATGGAAGGGGTATGGCTTGCAGCAATCCTGAAGAATCGGTCAATCGCTATTCAAATGAACGCATCGTATACCTTTGCCTTGTATGAACCACCAGTAACTACTCCAGATAACAAAACGAACTCAAAGGCTTTAAGCATGTATCCTCCCTTACATCTGTAAATTATCCACATAGTTTGAAAAAAAATGCTTAATAAAAGCTGAATCAAAATTCACGGGTAAACAGAAAACTTTTTTCAATGAAAATGCGAAGCTTCAGCTTTTCTGCTATATAAACTTGTAAAGATAACTCCTAGTGTTTCAATACAAACATTTCCCCAAATAAGCAGCTCCTGAGAGCTTATACAAACGATTTTGTTGAGTTCAAAACGTTTCTAGTATGAGTACGAGAACTGGTTCTGTCTTTGGCTATTGACATTCAGCTTTTTTTTATCACTAAGATCGATCACATCAGTGTGCAATTTGAAATACTTTAAGCTGAGAATGAGTTGTCATAGATGAGCATTTTTGGTTTAAAAATGTCAGGCAATGTGCATTGCTGCAAACAAAAAAAAGAAGGTTCAACAAAAGAGTTAAATATGTTTTTCATGAATATCTCAGGATGAGAGTCCCTACCTAAGCTTTAGTCAGAATGGTAAAAATGGTGCTTTTTAGCGCATCTACAGAACACGTTAATGCGAGAGAGTTTTTCCCGCGTGGCGCTGTGGCTGTAAATACATCATCGTTATTATCGCTTTTTAGTAATGAGAAATTACACACCGTGATGCCTATCTAGATAAAATGCAAACAATTCAGATTTTTATTTCATAAGTTATGCCGATGAAATTGTTGAAAAAGGTATTGTCGCAAAATGTTCGTTCACCGCCAAAGGTCATTGGCAAGCGGAACAAAAGTGACCGAAAAAGGATACTAACGAGCTACTGTATGCATTTTTGGTAGTAAGCAGATTTTTGTAAAACTGAAAGCAGAAAATCACTGATGTTTGAGGACGTAGTTTAGGTACCAAGTGTCTTTTCCTATAAAGAAGTCTCAGTTATAAACTTTGTTTTTATCTATCAAAAACAAACGCACTACTCATGCATTCAGTTACTGATCTTTACGAACTACGTAGGTTTGCTGCTATGTTGCTGCTATGCTAGTTTATGCTTGTTTTGAAGGCTGACCATATAGATACTGCTTTTGCAAAGTAAGTTTGCAGTGCCAACTTGATTGTCAGAGCAAAGGTCCTCCGTCCCCTTATCGTGGTCATATTGCTTCACTTTGTTGATAAATTGGAAGAGCTGTCAAGATGTAGCCGCAACGTGGGCGGCGCCTGATCAAGATCAGAAGAGCCGGACCTAGCCTCCTAGTTGGTGGTTGCGGTCTCCCCCTCCGGCCCCTTTTCTCCGCCCCTTTTTATTTTATGTCTTAATGACAAATTTTGATAATTAAATTTGTTTATATAGTCTTGAGAGCAGGGCGCGCGGGCTTGATAATAGCAAGTCATAAGCCTGCGCAACTCATGAAATTGACAGAGCTGTCATGCAAATCAGACGTACCCATCGCCGCACCAAGAACCACAGCATGCCAAGATATCATAGTCCGAGATTATTCTCTGTAAAAAACGTGTTTTCTTTTTTAAGTTATTCGACTACGTCAGACCTGATCTCTTCCTTTAGATTCTATGCACATTTTGTCAGACATGAAGCTCCAGATACCGCCCAGCAAGACCCTGAGTTTTGGGTCTATATCACGGCGATTATATCATTTTAAGCTTTTTACCACAGTTTGCTTGATCCCTAATAGTCTTAATAGAAACGCAATCGGGCCACTTTTCTCGAGCATCGAAACTGTAACACATCTCATGAAATTATACATTTCCTACATAGTGCTCTAGAAGGAGAGCACTTACCTTTCTGGAAGATCCTCATTCATAACAATCTTTTCTGCTCTTACAGTTTCCTCAGGTATTTTCATATATTTAAGATCCATCAAGCGTGCCTTGAACTGTTTGTACGACATTTTTGGAAGTTCTGCCTAAACATCCTACACATCAATGCATGACCAGATACTGTGTGATCTACTTATAATTTATGACATGTTTCCTACCTTGAAAAAATGCTGCTTTTTGTTCAGGTAATCAACAAGCTCCTGATCCGACATGTTATTGGCATCTGTAACATACATGTAGATTTGTTTTTTTGTGCTATGTTTTTGTCAAAATGATTATCTTAATCACTTCTAAAAATCGGGTCGAATGAGATTGAAAACTTGTATGATTCTAAAGATGTCTGATAAGCTCTTACGCACTCACCCTCAGAAATGCCTGAAGCCGACACAAATAATACGGCCAGCAAAGTCAGCATTTTGGCCATCTAAGAGCATTGAGCATCATGACAGAAGACAAGCAATTTTTTAGCAAGTTGATTGATAGAAAGCTAGTAAAACCTTACCACGGTAGAGTATGAATGCGTGAAACCACGACAAGCTTTCACATTATCAGTTAGTATTATCTAAACACTTGATTTTTTGTCAATGTGTTTATATCATTTCAGTCTTTGATAAAGAAATTAGAGATGCAACTGCCACGGGACCTTCCCCTAGAGATGCAACTATATTTCAGACAAATGCGTTTGGAGTATGGATCTTTACGCCAGAAGCCATGCCATTAACCAATCAAAATTTATCGAAAAACAGGCATGAAACTTTGTTGCGATAGTGCACATCGTTTCAAATCGACACCACCACCGCATGAATCCAGTGGAAAACAACTCTATTTAGCGTCACTTGTTTAGTATTCTTACGCTAAAGTAAAGAACGCCTTTTGAGTCTTAGCTATGACACCCAGGTCTACAATATTAAAAAGGTTCCAGACTTAGAAGAGATGTTCTCGCCATCGGACTCCACCAGTATAGACAGCCCCTATATGCTGATTGAGTGTAGAAATCATGGCCCGTAGCAAATGCCCGGCTGTCCTTTAATAACATGTGTCCTGTACCTAAGCAGCGTATAAAAGGGCCCAGAAAACACAAAAATGTTCAAGTTGAGGATTGGACTAGGTTTTTGAGTCAATAAAAATAGTTGCATTCTCACGTTGGAAATGAACAAGTTTTGGCAACCTGAGCTTTACATTCGAAAGATTCAAAATCAAAAACCTAATTCTGCCTTCTAGGGCCTCTCCATACGTAAAGGCACCGTCCACTCAAATCCTCGACTTCCAAGATTTCGTCGTTTTAGAGTCTTCTCATGTCCCTGATTCCGTATCCCTGAATATGAAGTGGAAAATCCGCAAAACCCCGACAATCTCCATTACGGAGAGCCCACAGCCCGGCTTGCCGAAACTGATTGGATGGGCGGGCATGGATGAGATGGGCGATGTCGTCTGGAGGTCCTCGTGTACCTTGTCCTTGTGCATTCCAGAGCGATTGTCTTGCTTCCGAAACGACATTCGACACAAATGCGACTTAGGCAGTGGCTTGTTAGGGGCTCAAAACCCTCAATTCAAGGTGGACGATGTCTTTATGTGTTGCTTTACATTTGAATACCCCCCCCCCACATGATGTACCTTGGAAACTTGCCTACAAAGGACATCCATTTGCATTCTAAAGCTTCGAAAACCTTTATTCCAGTCAAGAGCAAAGTAGGTGGATTATGAAGTGTTCTGATCAACTTTTATCGCAGAAGTTGGTTCGTTATCTAGTCGTGAACGAAGAGCAAAGCCATGTCAATCTTATATATAAAGCTGAATGTCTGTTTGTCTGTCTGTCTGTATGTCTCTATGTCTGTCTGTCTGTAAGTATGTTCCGAATAGAAAATTCCATTTCTGAACCGATCCGGACCAAACATGGCACACATACACTACGGGCCCCGGCGGGTGTCATAGGCTACTTTTCGTCATCGATCGATATCGATTTTATCGATTTTTTGCAAAATTTTAGCTACGCGGCTGGGAGTTGGCACAGGGGGGTAATCGAGCATGCTGATCACCCCCGTGGGGGTGATCAGCATGCTCGATTACACCCCCTGCCAAATTCCAGCTCCCTAGCTCAAATTTTGCAAAAAAATCGATAAAATCGATAAAAGTAATGCACGGTTTCGAAAACTAATATTGTATTCGTAATCAGCATGCTCGATTACCCCCCTGTGCCAAATCCCAGCCCCATAGCTAAAATTTTGCAAAAAATCGATAAAATCGACATCACTCGATAACGAAAAGTGGACTGTGACACCCGCCGGGGCCCGAAGTGTATGTGTGCCAAGTTTGGTCCGGATCGGTTGAGAAATGGAATTTTCTATTCGGAACATACGGCGGAGCCGGGTAAGCCAGCTAGTAAGGTGATAATACAGGGTGTCCCAAAAAAATGTATCGAACGTTTGATCTTTAATAACTTCCCTATATGGAAAGCTTTCGCGAATCTTTGAGCATGATATGATAGAGCTAGGTCTAACTTATTTACAGTATAAAGCGAATCACAGATTCCTTAGTTACTGTGGGATTACGGTAGGAATTTTCGACTAATTTTAAGCTTTAGACAGGCGAGAACAACTGCTTCCAAAAAAGTCCAAAAAAACACGAAGGACGCTAACCTAGGTTTTCAGGGATGTTGAATTCAATTACAAAGTCTTCCGCTACCGTACCCCTCATCTTTCTACAGTATGCACAATGCAACGCTAAATTTTTGGTTTTTTTTTCCGAAATGTACTAAATCAACGTTGCAGTTACAAACACGTCGTCAAAAGTCGTCGTCGTCGCCAAAAATTCAGCGTTATAGTGCGCAGACCGTAGGAAGATGAGGAGTACGGTAGCGGAAAACTTTGTAATTAGATACAGCGTCCTCCCGAAAACCTCAGTTTGATATTTCGCTTTTTTGGAATTTTTTAGAAGCAGCTCTCGCTTGTCAGAAGCTTAAAATTAGTCGAAAATTCCTACCGTAATACTAAAGTAACTAAAAGAGATCAGTGATTTGTTCTATACTGCAAACCTAAGCTGAACCCAGCTCTGCCATGTTACACTCAAAGATTCGCGAAAGTTTCCCATATAAGGAAGTTATTAAAGATCAAACGTTCGATACATTTTTTGGACACCTTGTAGATTCCCTATTCGATTATTGTTATGCAATTAATTGATTTTCAATTTCCAAGCACTAGTTAATCTTTCTGTTTGCCATCCTGTCTTTAACCTATGCTTTGTCTGCTGTTTGGTGAATTCTAAGATTCTTAATAAGCGTAAACACATTGAAAAGTTCAGCAGCAATTTGCATAGCAGAAATGAGAAGCAATCAAAGGTTGTGCCCGGTTTTATATTTTCAGATATACTGTTCTATTTTTCTTAAGTTCCATATCTTTGAGGCACTGGAGTTTATGGTTTGGAGCAAAACACCCGCGGGTTCTAATTACTGCAGAAATACTGTAAAAAATTCTAGCACATTTGTGCCAGGATGCAGCCTCGTCAAAAAACGTCAAGAAAAACAAACTTGTGCAGAGAGTTTCCACACTCTGAGGGCCGCATCCACTGACCTCCCCGCGGGGAGGGGATCGCTGCTCAAAAGAAAGCTTTATATTCCGAAACTCCAGATACCTGGATTTCACGTTGTGTACCTATCCGTAAGTATTCCTACTACCATTCACTATGAACATGTTGAAGAGGAGCGAGAAGCTGTACGGAGCGCATTTTCCAGCTTTTGTATGATCCCTAATGATCCCCAGCGCTTTTCTTTGAAGTCATTTTTCTTTCTCCGAAGTTAACGAAGACTTTCCAAAGCTGTACTGAACATCTAACACAACAGTGCTAAGCAAGTTGCTGATGAGAACAAATGAGTTTTTGAAAAGTCGAATTTTTCGGTAAACCTCAAATCTCGACCTGTGGATCATTTAAAATTTCATGACTTCAAAACATCATTTGTTCTTACCACGAACATGCTTAGCACTGTCGAGTTGGATAATCTGCACAACTTTGGAGGTTTCTCGTTAACTTCGGAGAAAGAAAAATGACTTCAAAGAAAAGCGCCGGGGATCACCAGGGATTATACAAAAGCCGGAAAATGCGGTTCGTACAGCCTCTCGCTCCTCTTCATCATGTTCATAGTGAAGGGTAGTAGGAATACTTACAGATAGGTACATAACGTGAAATCCAGGTAACTGGAGTTTCGAAATAAAAGCTTTCTTTTGAGCTGCGATCCCCTCACCGCGGGGATGTTAGTGCATGCGGCCCTGAGATTGATCGACTTTTTTACAGGCCTGTGAAATTGCTGTGCGATGTAGTTGCTTTTGATAGATATTGGAGTGGTCCTAAAACGAAACTGAAATTTGATTGAGAAATACTCAATCAAAAGCAATACTGTAAGTCAGTAAGGATTTGATCCTTCCGAAGCTTTGCTGAGGCACATCTACGAGTTTGAAAACGTCAACGAGGATTTCGCATAGACACCTCCCGTACTGCAAATCTAAGTTTGACCGTTCACTAAGTGGGGGAGCTTAGACAAATGGCCGAAACTTCCGCAGAGCGCTTGCGGAAGTTCCGCCAGGCCACCTGCGGAAGTTCCGAAACGAGGTCCTGCGGAAGTTCCGAAACGAGGTCCTGCGGAAGTTCCGAAGAATGCCAACCATGACAGCAAAATAGAACACCGAAGCAAATTTGAACCTCACTCTATTGACTGTGAGACCCACCTAATATCCTCGACGCTACGGCTGACATGTTCGATATGGCACTCTAGTTGTTGGCAAGGCAACATCACGAGACAACACATTCAAAGTCCTGCGGAAGTTCTGGTAGGCCAAAGTGCTGCGGAACCTCTGGAATTTTTCGGAATTTCCGCAGGATTTTAAAGAAGGTTCTGCGGAAGTTCCGGTTTTTAACTAGTTTGGCATGAAAATTCGATTTTCAACGTTTTCTTTTTTGCGGTGAACAAAATCCTGCGGAACTTCGGCAAATTTGGCTTGTCCTGCGGAAGTACCGGTGATTTGTCTGAGAGATGGCGCAACGCAAGACAGTGAGACAGGAAAGTATGTGTCTGTAATCAAACAATATATATGGTACATAACGTATTCACGGTGATAACTGATTTTGGATACATGGGTATGTCACTGTTTAAAAAATATTTTTTGTGATCTGTTGCATCCACAGAAATCCGACTCCGTAAGTAAACCAGCCAACAAGGCCAGAAAGTACGAGCAGAGTACGAAGACTTTTGCATCAGAAGTGAATCCTTTGCTGCAGTTTTGGATAATACCAAATTTCTAATTTCTTAGTCACTTTTCAAATAAAAAACGAAAACGTCCTTATTGGTTCAAACACTGCCTTGAATTTCGAGATATTGAGGGATCGACAAAAAAAGACTGTTAAATGCAGCGGTCGGCATGACAACTTTAGGATATTCGTCGTTCGTTCTCAGTTCCCACGGATGAGCTAAGTCGTCCAAGAGTGTGCTTTGAATAATATCAATAACCCGCTTTTCCAGACGTAAAAAGTGCTATCTGGGCGGACGGCGTATGACTGCTTTTCTAGAGCGCGAGTGGCTCGTGAGTGGAGATACCGTACTCATCTCGGCGGCAATTGGATTATTGGTTTTAGCAGCCAGGGTGGAGGACATTAGATCGCCAAAAGAGGGCGGTCCCCGCGGTCATTTGCGACAAATACGCTCCCTTGTACATACGCGGACATGCTCAGGGACTCGCGCCGTGCGGGCGGCCAGCGACGACCTTACAATCGCTCGTCGGTGTGTGCGATTGTACGGTCGTCAAGGGCCGTTTGCACGGTTAACGTGGGGCGCCCGCACGGTCTCTAATGGTCGCCGCTTGCGCGGAGAAAGTCGGCCGCTCGCTTGCTCTTGGATTAGATGTATTTGCGATATCTTGACCATTTTTCTTAGATAGATCAATCCTTTACACATTTTGGGAACACGGATCGATGCTTGCAGCATTGCCAAACTTTTCATGGGGGGCCCTCACCATCACTCTTGATAACTGTAGCCTCAAAAAAGTTCATTCCAGTATTGCTAGTAAAAGAAGATGATAACATGATGTGGCAATGCTTAGCCAGCCTAAACACTGCGTCGTATCTCACACAGGTACCGTTTACGCTCACAGTGTGTGAAAATAGTGGGCAGAAAATAGAGGTCACTGTTGGCCGCTTGCACGGCAACACGGATTGCCGACCGATAAGACGGACGCATTGCTGGCCGCTCGCTCGAACAACTGTATTGCATGCCGTTGCCTGCCGCTAGGACGGCGCTTCAGTTGTTTGCCGCACGCACGGAGGCTTTAGGCTTATGTCGACCGCTTGTACGCTAGCCCTTATAGGAGGACCGCTCGCACGGCGCGAATCCCTGAGTGCGTTCCTGCAGGGAATCCGCACGGGACTCATCCAAACTCGGCGACCTAATGTCCTCCACCCTAGCCACTTTCGCGAGCCACCCA